TAATTTTTAATTATTTTTAAAATAAAGTACTTGAAAAGAAGAACAAAACAAGCCCAAGAGCTCCAAATTTGGATTAGTAATGAAATTCTGATGAATTTTGGAAGTTATGGGGGTTTTCTGAATTTATTTAAATGTTTTAAACGGCCAGTCAAACAGAGGCGGCGACCGGGACACGCGGCGGGAGATGATGCAGCCACGCGGACAGTGGCGGTCACTCGCTGCCCGCCACTTAACCAGCTTAGCGGGATACGAGACCGTCGGATGCACCGCGGTTCTGATCTAACGGCAAGATCAGATCCCACAGTTCAGCTCGATCCAGATTGAGTGGACAGTCCGATTCGAGCCTGCGGTATGGATCGGCGGCCAGGATCAAAGTCAATGATGACCTGGTCAAACCCCAGTCAGTGACTGAGCCCGGATTGGGTTTAATCCTGGCCGTTAATCACGATAGAAGAGATCCGACGGTCGCGGACCCATCTTCTTCCTCTGGCCAGACCGAAAACCCTAGGTATGATTTTTTTCCTCGTTTTCACAGAATACCCGTCCAAATGCTTTGAAATTTTGGACAGAGTCATAATAGTATCTAAGTAAGAGTGGCGAATGGTTTTTAAGTCCTTTGATGCAATATTAAATGTGTTATTTAAAAACCTAGAAAACAAACTAGGATTTAGGATTTATCACCGAAAAATGGATCGATTTGGTTGATTTTATCACGGTTCAACTTGTAGACTATCCACGTGTTGAGTTCCTTCAGGCCTCAAACTCGGAGGATCACCAAAAATGGAGCTAAGGGAGTTTGAATGGAAGTGGCTCTCGGTCAAGCTCTGATCTCGCCGTCGGTAGCTTCAAAACGCTGAGTATCGATAGGAAAATCAAAGTTGAGCTCAATGGAGTCAAAACGAAATCATCATAGCTCTGGGGGAGCTCTGGAATGCAAGATAGCTTGTAATGAGTGGGATTCATCCCTCTTGCCTATTCACGGGTTTGGAGTCTAAAGGGACGGTGGGGATCGATCAGGGAGAGTGCTGGGATGATGGACACCTGTCCCAGACGGTTAGGGGACAGGAGGAGCGGCTGCCTCAGGTGAGAGTGACCTGAGGTCGTTTTCAAGCATAGGGGGACCACTATGGTGTTAGACTGAGCTTAGGGGCATGCCACCAGCTGGGATGAGTCAGGATATCTCCCATGAAGTATCTAGAGTTGTTTCAGTGGGCTGGAAAAGATTGGATTGGGATGGTTTCATTAAGTTGACGGGTTTGACCATTTAGAGCTCATTTGAACTCTTGGAAGAGCTAGGGAGCATGCCAAGGCTCAGGCTGGATCTGGCTGAGTCCCAGGTGACTTCTGGGATAAGTTAGGATACCTGGATGGGTCTGGTCTAGTCTAGGAAGTTTTATTTGATTGGGTTTGGCCAACTAAGCTCGTTTGGGGTTCCCCTTGACTCTTTGACCAGTCAAGGGAGAAAATGATTGCTGAGTTTGCATCAACGAAGGTTGTGAGGCCTCTCCCAATGGCTGGATGGGTGTGGCTTGAGCTGAGTAAGGATTGATAGGTTGGTTTGACCTATAGGCATGGTTCTCTAAGCCTTAGGTTGACTGGTTTAACCAGTCAACACAGTCAATGGTTGATGAGGTGACACCTAGGTAATCCAGATGGGTTGATTAGATGGATTGGAGGGTGATTCCAAAAGTCATGTATGTCAATTGATCCAAGAAAGCTTAATGGGCCCTTAATGGTCTTTTAGGACAAAATTGGTTGACTTGGTCAACCAGTTGGGTTCAGGGGCTGGAACTGGATTCAACAGATTCAGAATGTCATCCTGAGTCTACTGGGTGGGGTTCCAAGGTTTGGAGGGGTCAATTTGATCAAAATCCTGATTTGAACCCTTGAGGGTCTTCTTGGGTCAACCCTGTTGACTTGGTCAACCAGGTTGACTCATGAGCTGGGAATGGGTTCAACATGTTTGAAATTATATTTGAAACTTGCTGCAAGTGATTGCATTCAATTCAGAGTTCAATTGGTTTGAAATGCTTGTTTGAGCCCCATAGGGGTATTTTGGTCATTTTGGGCCTGCACACATTGGCGTTGACCGAATGGAAGTAGAATCTCAAAGGTGGAAGGGAGGGTATCTCCCAATCTTAAGTCCATAGGAAGCTAGTAAAAGGCTTACACCTATTTGGAAAACAGAACTTGAGAAACCAAGGTAGGGAATACCTAGCCTTGGGTCTAAGGAAGGGCATCACCCAACCTTAGGCCTATAGGATGCTGATAGAAGACTTACTCCAAATAGGCGAATTAACTGGAAACCAAAGTAGGGAATACCTAGCTTTGGGTCTAAGGAAGGGCATCACCCAACCTTAGGCCTATAGGATGCTGATAGAAGACTTACTCCTAGTAGACGGATCAACTGGAAACCAAGGTAGGGAATACCTAGCTTTGGGTCTAAGGAAGGGCATCACCCAACCTTAGGCCTATAGGATGCTGATAGAAGACTTACTCCAAATAGGCAATAGGACTGGAAACCAAAGTAGGGAATACCTAGCTTTGGGTCTAAGGAAGGGCATCACCCAACCTTAGGCCTATAGGATGCTGATAGAAGACTTACTCCAAATAGGCAGATTAACTGGAAACCAAAGTAGGGAATACCTAGCTTTGGGTCTAAGGAAGGGCATCACCCAACCTTAGGCCTATAGGATGCTGATAGAAGACTTACTCCTAGTAGACGGATCAACTGGAAACCAAGGTAGGGAATACCTAGCCTTGGGTCTAAGGAAGGGCATCACCCAACCTTAGGCCTATAGGATGCTGATAGAAGACTTACTCCAAATAGGCAGATTAACTGGAAACCAAAGTAGGGAATACCTAACTTTGGGTCTAAGGAAGGGCATCACCCAACCTTAGGTCTACAGGATGCTGATAGAAGACTTACTCCTAGTAGAAGGATCAACTGGGAAAACCAAGGTAGGGAATACCTAGCCTTGGGTCTAAGGAAGGGCATCACCCAACCTTAGGCCTATAGGATACTGATAGAATACTTACTCTAAATAGGCAGATTAACTGGAAACCAAAGTAGGGAATACCTAGCTTTGGGTCTAAGGAAGGGCATCACCCAACCTTAGGTCTATAGGATGCTGATAGAAGACTTACTCCTAGTAGACGGATCAACTGGAAAACCAAGGTAGGGAATACCTAGCCTTGGGTCTAAGGAAGGGCATCACCCAATCTTAGGCCGATAATATGCTGATAGAAGACTTACTCCAAATAGGCAGATTAACTGGAAACCAAAGTAGGGAATACCTAGCTTTGGGTCTAAGGAAGGGCATCACCCAACCTTAGGTCCATATGATACTGATAGAAGACTTACTCCTAATGGACAGATTAACTGGAAACCAAAGTAGGGAAATACCTAACTCTGGGTCTAAGGAAGGGCATCATCCAACCTTAGGCCTATAGGATGCTGATAGAAGACTTACTCCTAATAGGCGGATTAAATGGAAACCAAAGTAGGGAATACCTAACTTTGGATTTAAGGAAGGGCATCACCCAACCTTAGGCCTATAAAATGCTGATAGAAGACTTACTCCTAATAGGCGGATTAACTGGAAACCAAAGTAGGGAATACCTAACTTTGGGTTTAAGGAAGGGCATCACCCAACCTTAGGCCTATAGGATGCTGATAGAAGACTTACTCCTAATAGGCAGATTAACTGGAAAACTAGGATGGTGCCATGAAGGGCGTACTCCACCACTAGCGAGTAGTCATATGGGGAGGAAACTTGCTCCATACAGAGGACCGAAACTGGAAAACTAGGATGGTGCCACGAAGGGCGTACTCCACCACTAATCCCTAGGTCAAATGCCAGGGTGGTGCCACGGAGGGCGTACTCCACCACTAGCGAGTGTGAATTGGAATGGTGCCAAGAAGGGCGTACTCCACCACTAATCCCCAAGTCAAATGCTAGGGTGGTGCCACAGAGGGCGTACTCCACCACTAGCGGGCCTAATTCTAAGGGAAGGAAGGACATAACCTTAACGAAAAGAGAATTGAAAGCAATTGAATGATGATTTTTAATTTGATTTGATTTCTATGAATTTGAAGGGGTGAATTTGATGTTTAATTTGATCCTCATTAGGCATGGTACTTCTTAAAGAACTGCCCAAATGAAAGGAAGCATCTGGTGGTATCTTGAAAATTAATCAATTGTCATGAACCTCCCTTATAGATTATCTCTAAGGTGGTCTATCCAGTCAACATTGATTCAAAGCTTACATTGATCTTATGGTGGACTAAAATTGGTCTCCAAAGGACTATATCCAAGTCTCATACTTGGAAAGTCCTAAGGTGACACAATTTATAATGAGCTTTTATCATACGTGACTTATATAATTTCAAATTTTTGTTGAGTTCAAAGTAACTTTCTTCGAGGCCTTCAAGCTCTTCTGATCAGAGTTGGGCACTCTACCCATTTGTGACTCAATTTTGAAAAACAATTTTCTGCGATGTAAAACACACCTCTATTTGAGAACAACCTTGGACCCAGCATAGAGTGTTATTTTACATAGTCGATCTTAAAAGAAACGATGCATATGTTTAAAGATTCACATATATATTTTAAGAATGGGATTTGAATGCTTATCGAGAATAGAAGATTCATTCTTTTTATTGAAAATTTCCTCTTAATCATTTGGACCCTGTCAAAATGACAAGTGGGAACAAATTCAAAAGTATAGTGAGAAGTAGAGTGAC